GTCAAGTGTCAAAGGTCAAGATGTGTAAACGGAGGGAGAATATTTCCAACCTTACACTTAAGGTAACTAGGAGGAAATACGAAATTGCCGGCGAACTAAATCTGAACGGCCCTCGACCATGCTCTTTACATATTTGGTGTATCGTGTGATGGCGCAACGAAACCCATCACCAGTGTGAAATTGGACGGTTACAGGTCAACGCAGGGCAGATGGGCACGAAGAACAGGTCAGCTACATAGAATACAGACATTTTCCTGAGGACATGGCCTACATGGACAGTGAAAACTCTTTTTGGTCTCTCAGCGGCGTGCACCCGCTACCAGCGGCATTTTTATCACTGTTATTGAAAGCCCATGAAATGTTGTCTTTTCCACTGAGCCGTGCGAAGAGTAAGTGTCTGATAACTTTTGACGCCGTCAAGAGAAGGGTTAAAGCCATATAATCATGAACTCGCCGTCAATGATGCCACAGGTGTTCTCCATATTCATGGCACAATCATCTAATCAAGAAAGCCCTAGCCTCGGATAGCCCATACGGTACCGCGCAGGCCGTCAGCGGGTCAACTAGGTCGTTGAGCTCGAATCCCCCATGCAGATTTTTTTATTATTTAACCCGCTGTTTTTTCATGTATTTTTCTAGCTCTCTATCCCACTGTTAAATTATTTTTTTCCGCAATTACACCAATCTTTACATGATTTATTCTACGTTAACAATTTAATGAAGAACAAATAATTTTTACACACATTAATTATAAAAAAAAAAAATAGGGTTAGGGAGTCTAGGGTCACATGCATCCGCCCATATAAAGCTTTCAGCGCCCACCCCCCGCCCCCCCCTCCCGCCACACCCCCCCACCCCCACCCCCCCGCCCCCCACGCCGATTTGTATCAACGCAACATGGGATTTGGGAGGTATAGACGACATGCAGATAGGTTGCTCGGAAAACACAACTCGATGTGTCGCCCCAACTGCGTATTCTGATATCTGCGCCTAACAAGTGTCACTGGCTTTTCGCTACGCAACCCAGCAATATAATGATTGAAGTATATTACCGTAGCAAACATTCAGATGAGGCCAGAGCTCTGCGGGCTATTGTTAATTACTTTTTGTTTGTTATACTTATGTTTTTGTTTACCTTTCTTAGTTACTGTACAGTATATCAGTTATTGTTAGACATTGAAGTAATGGTATATTTGTTGGTGAACGAGTTGTTTAGATACAAATTTACATACATAGCAATATATTAGTATAATTCAATAAAAGTGTATGTAATATTGTTATACAGAAGCATAGCACTCAATTTTTCTACGGTAGGCCAGGAGATTTATATGACACGTGCAGTTGTGTTCAGGGCCAGCAACTGACTGTATATATATATATATAGTATATAGTATATATATTATATATATGATATATATACTATATATATACTTTCATGTTATTATATACCAGTGTATATATACAGTGCCCTGAAATGGACGGTCTCCACTCGGACACACGCCGACGCCAATGTCTAGCTCCGCGGGCGATCTGAAATTGCAACAAGTCAAGTAGTCCCTTGCCACCAAAAAAAAAGTTTGGCGCGACTTGCCAATATTTCAACCAAACCTTACTGATATGTTTGAGTTGTTCTTTGTTTACTAACTACAAGTCAAATCCTATCAACCGGAGTCACGGTAAGGATACAATCAGCCACCTCGCGCGCATTGTTTCGGTTCCGACAGAGGTCCTCGTAGCATCATGTACATTCATAGTGGCTAAACGTTAGTTTAGGGTTAGGTTTAAGCTAAATTTACATTATTTACTTTTAGTAAAGAAATCAATATCAATATCATTATCAATATTTCAACTATAATATTTTCTCTATATATGCAAACAAACGTGCTTATAAAGGTTGCACGTTTACACAAGTGAATTTATCAATTCTTTTAAACTTTTCTTCTTTGTGGGGCAATGGTTACGCATTTTTAGAAATCCATTAAAGGGATAGTATAGACTCTAGGATTTTACTGCATATAACTGTATTTACTGTATAACAAATCGTCTATACCCACACGTATTTGTTACCAGATACCTAATTTGATTGTTATAATTAATTACACATCAACACTACGAAATTTGAATGGCGCTATGACACCCGCGACCGTGCTGCCAACCTGAAAAATTTGCGTATTTGCCAATTTATTTTGCACGTTACAGACCGAGGGCTAATCACAAAGGTGCAATTATATTCATACCTAAATGCTATTTAACCGAACGATGTTCATTTTAGGACAAATTTATCCATAATATAACTGAAACTATATATGTCGTTTATAATTGATATTACAATCCTTTTGCTTTTAAATTACTAAATAAGAAACACTCTCGGTCTGTAGCCCTTGGCTGGAAAGTGGTTTTGCGCAACTTATCAGATCATCTGCTTTGAGTGGCGCCACCGTCGTTGTAATCAAACTGTAGTCGTTAGTTTTAAAACATATTTTAATAATAATTCTAATGGTGTTTGAACCATGAAACCTTTTATGTAGCGTCATTTTAACCTAAATTAACTTAAAATAACCCTAGAACCTAGAGTGAACTATCCCTTTAAGCAAAAAGGTAATAGGGTCGTGTTTTCATTTCAATATACCCCAGTAACGGGCTTCACACCAGTTCAGTTACGAGTAAATAAAATTAAAGATATGAAATTTGGTTATTCAAATTTTACTGCAAAAATGCCAAATGTGTGATTTATCTAGACAGTATTCAGATGCACTCCATATTGCTCCATACTTCCAAACACATTTTATTTTATCAAATAATGCATTAGAAGTGGTTTATCTTACCTTGCAAATAAATACCCCACGCGTACATGATGATGTATCATTCTGTGCCTGCCTCCCCACATCCTCCATACGCCACGTCTCCTTTCTAAGCGACTTTCCACGTATGAATGCCGTGAAGTAAATTCATCCTGGCCATAAAAGCATGACATTGAGAGAGACAGGTAGTACTCGCAGCCTTGTGTGCATCAGCTTTCTGGCCCGAAGGTGCCGCATTTGCAGTTTTTGTCTTGGCAGTAGTGGGTTTCGTCGCAGATTTACTGCTCGATTTCTTCACACTCAGTGTCATCCCCGTTTTCCTGGCAGAACTGTGCGAGGTAGTGCTCTTCGCTGAATAAAAATAAAACACGACCGGATCACATGCTAGAAATGTCGCAAATTAAACATTTGTAAACGTTATTATAATTACTCACCTCAGCCGGTTGCTCATTAGTGGGGTACATGGTAAGATTTCTCTTTGTGTCACATCTTTCTCACCACACATTGTCTTCATGCACGATAGGTGGCCAACGACGTTGTCCAACACCGCACGAGACGTACCTATAATGGTTTCTTGTCCTCGCTCACGAGTTCGAGTCCAGGGTGACCAGACGCCCCGTATTGTACGGGATTTTCCCGTATTTTGCCCATGTGTCCCGCGTCCCGTACCGATCCTTCCCGGGACGCATGTTTGTCCCGTATTTTTAACATTTTGAACAAAATACATCAAAAAGGAAAAAATTTCCACAAAAAAAAAATCGTTAAAAATCATTAAATAAAACAAAAATATCGAGGAAAAATCCAAGTATCCCCCCCAAAGACCTGGTATCCAATTTTTTGAAATATAATTTTAACAATTGTTTGCCTTCGAAATTCATCGCTCGCGTTCATTTTACATACGCCTCCACAGTACACTACACACAGGCGTATTGTCTAGTAACATTGTCTAGTTTGCTTGATACAATGTATACACATCACATTTATGCTGGTGCTTGCAAATATTGCGCCTGCATTCTTACAGCTCCAGTTCATGGTGACGTTGGTGTTTTCGGATATTTTAAATTTTAAACTCAGTGAACTTTCATAAAGTTTCATGATGGCTTCAAAAGTCACGAATCCTAACAAAAAGGTGAAACGTGAATGCAAGTTCAGGCCAGAGTGGCAGTTAGAAAAAGAATTAAAAGACTGGCTTCTGCCACAGCAGAACGTCGTAACCGGTGCAAACTGCATATACTGCCCGAGAAATTTCGGTATTGCACATGAGTAATTTGTCCTTTTCTGCAGTACAATGAAAGGATAAAAATCACTTTAAAGTGTGCTAAATTGCATGATTTGCACCCCCAATTCAAAAAAAGTTCTTACCAAGAAAGAGTTCTTACCCTCCTACACCCTCCCACGTGCCGTCGCTACTCTCCCTCGCAACGTTTCCTGTCCCATAATCAAATTTCTAAAATCTGGTCACCCTGAGTTCGACAGCCAAGTCATCATCATCCGGCATTAGTATCCAAGATGTCATTCAGTACGTTCACAAGTTCAACCTGCTCACCTGCAAGTAGAAAAAGAGACGGTCGCCTACAGACGCCACTCGCGCACGTTTGCCGTCACCGTTACTTTCGTCGATCAATTTGTCGGCTGTGATCGTTGACTATGCTCACTCAACATTGCTGCTCGTCAACATCGTAGCTAGTTTTGCAGTGTTTAGTTTATCCTACAGCCAAGCGCTGCGTCCTCGTAGCATCATGTACATTCATAGTGGCTAAACGTTAGTTTAGGGTTAGGTTTAAGCTAAATTTACATTATTTACTTTTAGTAAAGAAATCAATATCAATATCATTATCAATATTTCAACTATAATATTTTCTCTATATATGCAAACAAACGTGCTTATAAAGGTTGCACGTTTACACAAGTGAATTTATCAATTCTTTTAAACTTTTCTTCTTTGTGGGGCAATGGTTACCGAATCTGACGTGTTTTTGTTGGCGGACCTCACATCTATCTCTGGGGTGAACTGGTTCCTGGTCATCTTGTCCTGGGGGATATGAGGGGGTCCTCACTTCCTCACTGGTTTCCCGGATAAACCGACGATTCCTCCTGAGATTGTTGCCGTCAGATGTTTGCACCTCATACGAACGTGGTGACACATGTTTTCCTGTGACGACTGCTGGCTTCACTTGTGAGTATTTCTCGTCCCGTACTCTAACGATTGACCTGGGGACAGAGGGCTAGTGTCTTCACAGATTTCTCGTCGTGATACAATTTTTGAGTTGCTTGACGCTCAAAAAGTCGACGTGAAACTGCATCCTTGTCGGCTGCTTCGTTGGTAATCTTTACTGGAAGATTACTTCTGAACTTGCGTGAGTTCAGTAGTTCTGATGGTGATGGCAAGTGGCAATCCACGGGTGTGGATCTAATAATCAGCATTGCCATGTCCGGATCAGTATGTGCCGCTTTGGCTTTAGCAAGTACACCTTTTACGGTCTGTACGTGCCTCTCGATGAAGCCATTTGACTGTGCGTAGCGGGGACTCGATGTCACGTGACTGAAACCCCATTCTTCTGTGAATTGTCTGAACACCTGGCTCGCATATTGTGGCCCGTTGTCACTGATTACAGTCTCTGGAATTCCTTGTTCCGAGAACACTTGCTTAGTGATGTTCACCACTGACTGACTTGTCACACGACCGTGAATTTTCTTGACTATCGGGAACTTCGAATAGTAGTCACAGATAAGAAGGTACTCCTCACCATCCAGATAGAACAGGTCGGTACCGACGGTCTGCCATGGTCCCGTGGGTATTTCGTACTG